GTGCGGAAGACAATTTGTGTAAAGTGCTTACTTTGGGCACTTTATAAATGTGGCACATTTAATGGCACATTTATATGGCACACATATAAATGGGCACAAAATAAATACCCAATAAATATTAGCTGTTCTTTGTATTGTTGATTTTGGTTTAACGGGCTGTCCAAAACTCAGTCACCCAAAGCTTTGGAAATGGTAGGCATACCTGGCAATAACATCATAAGCCTCATGCCTAAGTATGGGTGCTGTGAGCCAAGCACATGATAGAATCTTTACTTAGCAGTACCACCCTGAAAAGTGTACAAAAGCCCTATGAGAAAATGAATATTTGTTGAATTTTTAATATATTTCAGACATTTTTTTCATTTAATCCTTTCTCCAACACTAGAATGTAAGTTACATGAGAGAGATCTTACCCCTGATGTGTACTACCCCACATGCCTGGCACATAGCAGGCATCTTAGTTAATACTTATTAAATGAAATCTCATTATTATGGATGGAGGCTGAGTAAAATCTGAAGGTGGAGCTGGGTTCTGATAAATATTTATTGGATAAAGGGATGAATAAATGGGTATTACATTACCATTTTAGAGAAGAGGAAACAGCTGGTGGCAGACCAAAGGACCGAACCCAGGATATCCTGATCCTTGAGCATGCACCCTTTCTATGGTCACACTATGGAGCCTCATAGTGTGGCCCTTTGGCTGTGTCTGGGGATGCCTAGGGATTTGATGATCCTGATGTATCATACGGTGTACCATCATATGTAAAAACCCTGACTACTCAGAGAGAGAAAGATCTAATGCGAGATCAGATTGTGATGCTCTAGTCACACAATCCTAAAGTTTTGTCTTCATGAAACTGCATAGCCTTATTGTATCTTATTTGCCCAAGGTCACACAGGGTGTAAGGGATGGAAACAAAATGTGAATCCAGTCTTCCCACAACAGCGTCCCTATTTGTTCCTTTACTCAGGGATTTTTAACCTGGGGCACAAGGACTCTTAGGGGGTCTCTGGGTATACCTTATGGTACGTTCTTCCCCCAACATTCAGTGCTTAGGAGCAGGTGCATTTTGGGGGGAAGGGGTTCATAGCTTTCATTATATTCTCAAAAGGACCAATGATCCAAAAGTTTCCTTTCATTTTCTTTTATGAACCTTTTTTTTTTTTTTGGCCTAAGAGAACCCAAATTTATTCTCTTACAGTTCTGGAGGCTAGAAATCCAAAATCAAGGTGTTAGTAGGGCCATGCTCTGTCCGAATGGCCTCTAGGGAAAAACCCATCCCATGTCTCTTCTAGCTTCTTTGTCTTGTGGCCATATCACTCCAATCTCTGTCTTAGTCTTCACATTGCCTTTTCCTCTATTATTATTATTTTAATTTTTAAAAAATTTTAGAAGATTTTACTTACTTATTTGAGACAGAGCACAAGCAAGAGGGAGGGGCAGAGGGAGAGGGAGAAGCAGACTCCCTACTAAGCAGGAAGCCTGATGGCGGGGCTGGATACCAGGAAGCTGGGATCATGACCTGCGCGGAGGCATATGCTTAACTGGCTGAGCCACCCAGGCGCCCCTAATTTTTATTTTATTTTTTTAAAGATTTTATTTATTTACTTGAGAGAGAGAGAGAGAGCATGAGAGGGGGGAGGGTCAGAGGGAGAAGCAGACTCCCCGCTGAGCAGGGAGTCCGATGTGGGACTCGATCCCGGGACTCCAGGATCATGACCTGAGCCGAAGGCAGTCGCCTAACCAAGTGAGCCACCCAGGCGCCCCCTAATTTTTATTTTTAAAACTGTTTTTAGATGAGTAGAAGGAAGAAAAAGGAAAAACTGGGGGAAGGAAATTGAAGAGACAAAGCATGCTAATTTTTGTTTACAGAATTTTAATGGAGAGAAGGCTAACGTGACGAAAAAAGCCAAAAGTTAAGGATGTTGAGGCAGGATTAAAATCCAGATCTTCTGGCACCAATTCCGGGGCTCCTGATTCCCGTTGCTACTCATTCATTCATTCACTCACTTACTCACTCATTTGTACTGAGTACCTGCTACGTGCCAGGGACAATTCCAGGCTCTGGGAATGGTGCCCTGGAAAACTCTGGCATCATAGAGTTTATATTCTAGTAGGGGAGACAGACATAATAATGATGACGACGATTATGTCAAGTGCAAAGAAAAGTGACGTCACAGAACGGGGAAGAACAGGAATGGCATTTCAGACGCGGTGTTCTGAGCTCAGAACCTCCAGTTGCTGTCCGCGCACTCCAACGAAGACAGCTCTTCCGAACGCCAGCGTGCACTCCATAAACCTCTCTTTCGCGCTTAGCCTCGCCGAGCCTCACCAAGGTGGAGACTGTAGGGAGAAGGGCGTGCACACGGGAGGTGCAGAGCGCATGCTCCCTCAAGATCTGTGGCTCTGAGGATTTTAACTAGACTCCGACCGCCAAGAGCGGAGTACGCAGGCTCCTCGCGTTAAGACAAGTGGGAAGGCTCCGCCCAATAGGAGCTTGCTTTTGAGGTTGTGGTCCCGCCCCCAGCCCCTTTTCTACTTCCGCTTCCGGTGCTGAGGCCGTCCAGGTCGAAAATGGCGGCGGCGTCTGTCTCTCGGCTGTCTGGGCTGCTAGGTCGGTCCGGGGCACAGCTGGGGCGTTCCATGTCGAGTGGCGCCCACGGCGAGGAGGGCTCAGGTACTGGAGCTGCGGCTGGCGGGGCGGGCCTCAGCCCCACCCGAGCGAGGCGGAGCAGGACTGTGACCTTGGCTTGAGGACTTGGGGTTGGGGGGGGTGAGACCCGGGCGGGGTCCCCACACCAGGCCTGAGCGGTCGTGCCTCCTTTGCAGCTCGCATGTGGAAGGCTCTCACCTACTTCGTAGCGCTCCCTGGCGTGGGTGTGAGCATGCTGAATGTCTTTCTGAAGTCGCGTCACGGAGAGCACGAGAGACCCGAGTTCGTCGCCTACCCCCATCTCCGCATCAGGTCCAAGGTACGCCTTTGTAGGCTCTTCGAGCAGCCATTCTTTTATTACAAATGCCTAGTCTGAGTTCTTCATTCTCTAAAATCGTGTAGAATTTGTCATTTAATTTTTACAGATTTTTATTTTCTCCGGTTTTATGGAAATGTAACAGACTTGGGGGGTCACATCTGTTTTCTTTTTCAAGGTCATACACTAAGTGCCCTTCAGTTTTACTTTTTTTCCTGATCCATCCCACCTCTGCCTTCTGATACTGTTCTGAAACAGTTGTCCGTTGTATGAGACTTGGAGGTTTGGGAATCTCCCTTAGAGTGGCAAAATCGGAAGGTGGTTCACACTTCTAGGACCTGGGCATCTGGCAGGTACCAGCTGCATGTTGAAGAGACTAACAGCTTCTCTTATTCCTACCTCTGCTAGTATTTTCTCAACTGTTTTATCCTTTGCTATTGATGTAAATGTAATCATTTGTTTTCCATTGCTTGTTGTAAGTATTCTTAACAAGAGGCCCTGCTGGCTCTTTAATAACTATTATATCACTTAGCCAAGACAGGACTGGCCTTATAGAAACTTAAGCTAGAGTCTTAGATTCAGAAAGAATTTTTGAGTCTGAGCCCCACTCCCACCCTTCTACAAAGATGTAAAAGCCATATACCATGGTTTTCAACCTCAGTACTATTGACATTTGGGGTTGGATAATTCTTGTTGGGACAAGGGGCTATCCTTTGAGTCCTAGGATATTTAACAGCATCCTTTGACCTCTACCCACTAGATGCCCTCTCCCAGATGTCTCCAGATATTGCCCAGTGTCTTTGGGCAAAATCATCCAGGTTTGGAAACCACTGCCCTAGAGCAATGTTTTTCAAAGGCAGCTTGCAAAAAATTGAGGAGAGTAGGTTGCAGTTTCCAATCCAGAGGTTTGTTTTAGATCTGGAATGAAGCCCAAAGTCTGCATTTAAATAAGCATCTTCTCTCATTTACCCACCTCTACCATTCTGATACAGATGATGTGAGGATTACACTTTCATAAACACTGCCCTCATAGACTAGTTGCCAGGGAGAGGCTTATGAATAATGAACTTGAGCTTGCTTTTCCTACTGCCTACTTTAAAGGCTCTCCTGGAAGTTAAAAGAGCTCCCTTAAATTGTGGGAAGGCTGAAATACGCCAGTAGTTAAAGGACTAATTACCATTTTGTTTTTATGTATGGTCTGTCACCCTTTGTCTGAAGCAGTTCATGGCAGTGCTGTTTCTGAATTCTCTTCTGGAATTGCCTAACTGACATCTTCACTCCACAGCCCTTTCCCTGGGGAGATGGTAATCATACTCTATTCCATAACTCTCACGTGAATCCACTTCCAACCGGCTATGAAGATGAATAGAGAGAACCTGGACCACCACCCAGTGGGGACCACAGCACTGGTTTGGACCATGACTCTGCACACAGACCAGAAGTCTATGGGACCTTAAGCTCACCTTCCTTACTTGTATCAAATGATGACCAGTATACCGATCTTCCATCCCTTTTCTTATGGCAGGAGATGGCTTAAATAAATAACTTAGATTGGTCCATGATCTGAGAGTTGCATTCTTTGGTGTTTTTCCCTCCAAAATCAGCATTGTTATTTTCGTTTCTATAATGAAGGTTTATGGCTGCCTTGTACAGGCCTCTGGATAAGTGTTTATAATAGGCTTGTCCTTGGTTTCTTATGCCTGGAGTAGGTAGAGCAAAGGGACCATAAGTGGAGCTAATTTAAGTATCAAGATTGGGTCCTGACAGACTTTGGGTGGTAAAGATATTGAGTAGAATACCTGCAATTTACATCTGAAAGAGGTATCTTTGACTCTCCAGAAGAAGTGCTTACTCTGTGTCCTAGCTTTCTCTTGTCCCATTCCACCAGCATTTGCTGAAGAATATTCCCTGTGGTCAGGTAATTGTCTCCAAAAGTGTCAAGTTCTCATCTTGTCATCTCTCAGCACCATGAAGGTTAGAAGGGTCAGAAACTTTTGGAGAAATAAAGGCAGTATGACACATTTCTGTATATGGCAATGAGCTTTATTTGTTTCTGGAATTAAAACCTTCCTGTAGCATTAAGAATTAGGGAGAAACAAGAGTAATAGTAACAAAGCCACCCTTACAGAGCATTTAATTTCTCTTCAAAATTTAAAATCTTTGAAGTAGCTGAGATAGTTGGAATCACTTTATGGGCAGGATGAAGTCAAAATAGAATGAAGAACAATTGGGCACCTGGGTGGCTCAGTTGGTTAAGTGTCTGACTCTTGATTGCAGCTCAGGTCATGATCTCAGAGTTGTGAGATTGAGCCCTACATCGGGCTCCACGCTGTGTGGAGCCTGCCTAAGGTTCTCTTCTCTCCCTCTCAAAAAAAATAAAGAACAATCCGAAGAAATTATTCTCTCAGCAGTTACAATGAAAAAACATGGTTGACTTGGAGTGGTTTTATTCTCGAGGCTCAACCAGACAGTTTTGTAGTAAGATTCAAGCAGCTACCAGGTTTTGGTATTGCATAGTAACATATAGTAAACTAGTACTGCAAAGGTGAGGCATATGGAAACACAGGCTATAAAAGCCTTTTACCGTAAGGGAGAAAAGGATCCCTGCTCCCTTTTCCATTTTGTGATCTAACCGCAGCCTGTGCTTGTACTTCCAAGTCCCCAAAGAACCATTGTACTTGTGGTCAGTCTGAGTTCAGGACAGATTACTTTACTTTGGCTTGCTGCCTGGCCTCCCTCAGCTGGATCTCAAATATCTTTTTAATCCATGTATATAATGGACCGTAACCAGTCAAAATGTAAATGTAGAATGTATTGAAATGACATTAAGGACTGGTCATGTTAAATATGAAGTGGTCACTGGTAAATTAGAGGTTAATACAATTTCCATCTTCTGTAAATTGTTTACTGTACTGGGTATATATAATTGAACCAAATTACTCAAGACATGCAATTTGGTGACTACCTGACATTCCAAAGTGTGTAAGTGCTCACCTGATCCTGACATTTTTTTTTTGCAGTATAGAAGCATATTAAGTTATTTGTGTAGCTTACTGTGGGAATAAATTTTAGAAATCAGGTTTCTAGTTGTTTTAGCACACTATTTACCTTAGATAAATTTTAACTTTTTCTTCATCTTTAAATTATAAAACAAAACTTTCCCCAGTGTACATATGGGATATGTGGGGTTACAGTGTAATACTTGTTCTGTAAAGTACACTGAGTTCTCCAGGGGCAAATAATGAAACTAAATGTTACAGTTTATTCCATCTTCATGATTACAAACATTACAGGCAGGATAGGTACACAAGGCAAATAAAACAAACTTCTCCCATTTTACTAAAGGCAGCATTTTGGCAGTTTAATGATAATACAGGTTCGCTTGCTTAATTTGGGCTGAAAGCTGGCAACAGCAAATCTTTGCAATTTAGGATCTTCCTCCATTGTTACTCCAAGGATCTTCATTCCTAAACTACACTATGAGCTCAGAAATGGTGTGCAACATTCTTCAAGCTTTCACATCTTAATCAGAAATCTGACACCTCTTCTTAAGGCAGAGAACTCTTAAAGCTGTCTTCCTCTTGGCTAACCCAGTCCACCAGCAATCTTAAAAGTTGTTATTATAAAAATAAAACCGTGCTCCCAAGCATTGATTAAAACTGTTGTGCTGGGATCCCTTTTCAGAGCTTTAGCTCCCTGAGAGAAAAGAGAGATCCTAACCAATTGTTTCCATGAATAATAACCCTTTAGGTACAATGTACCTAATGTCCTTTGCAGCAAAACTCAAGAGGTCAGGCAGCCCTGATCATCTGGACAGGTTTATCAGTATTTACATACAAAGGATATTTAAAGCTGATCCCAGACCAAGTATTGCAACCATAATCCCAAGAAGTCATTCAGTTTAAGCACATGGAGTTCCTGCAGGATGCCAGAGCAAGTGAGAAATCATCTCCTAGCAGAGTGATGGGGTTCATCATCTTTTACAAGTGAGAGAAATCAAGGAGGAAAGAAAACTCCTTCCTCCTAAACTCTTCATCAAATCGATGGCTATTTTCACAGCCTTAATTGCCCAAATCCAGTGTCCTCAATTTCCTGATTGGAGGAGTCTATTTTCAAGGTGACTGTCAAGGTCAAGAAGAGCTTTCAGGCTTTTCTTTGCCATGGCCCATGAATTCCAGTCCTTCAATGGGAATCTCTTTCTCCTTTATTGCTTTCTGATGGAGAAGAAAACACACGACACAGGTCTATGTGAAGCTTAAGGACCAAACTTTGTAAATATGATGGTACAAAAGTAAATCAGATCAAGAGAACACCCAACCATGATTGGGTTGTACTTTTTTTACTGTACTGTACTTGACTACTTTTTTTTAACCTGAGTACCATTATGGAGAAATTAAATGTAAGACCAGAGAGAGATTGGAAAGGAGTTGTGAGGAATCGTCAGTGTTTCAGATGTGGAATTTAAACAGTATCTCCACTCTGTTATGACACACAAATTCAAATCTTGAGTTCCAGGGCTTGGTGGCTATGTGACCTTGAGCAAGCCTCACTTTCCTATCTATAAATGGGCTAAAGATAGCAACTTGGAATTACCCTGAGGATGTTTTAACTAGGAGTGTTGTGTCCAGTGCGGTTCTTACAAACCAAAGCAGTTTCACATTCATTGAACTGGAATGAAAATTTCCCAGCGGGTTGAGAGATACAGCAAACCAAGGAAGGAATTATAACAACAACAAAATGAGACCCTCATGTCTAACAGGCCAGAGAAACTAACACCCCTCTTCGCCCCCCAACAATAGTGGAATAGTGCACCACCGCAAAAATCAAGAAACGATTCCGGTTAACTTGAACTAATCACTTCCTATTTGGGGAACGTTCCATGTATAAAATACCAAGAACTATGCCCACTTTACGAGTTTAGGAGGAGCACCAAATGAACCAAAGGATGTTTCTGTGCTCGGTAAAATGTAAAGCATTGTAAAAATATTTAACTCTGTCATTTAGAGAAATACCGGGCGGCCTTGGTGGTGATGGTGGGGAGAGAGCTCCGGCCACTGTCCTCACTGTGGCTTTTCTTCACCCTCCCCATCCCAACCTCCGCGAAATACTACGCGTGTGGCGGGGACACCGCAGAGAGAAGCAGGGGCGGAGGGTAGAGACGAAAGGGCCCTGGCCACCTAAGGGCTCACCTGAACACACTGCTGATAGCGCTTGAAGAGGTCGGTGCACGGGTCTCCGGAGCCGTCCCCCTTGAGGAACTTTTCGGCAAACCAGCGATTGAAGCACTGGTCGTACTCGCGCTTCATGTCGGTGCAGGCCTCCCCTACGCTATTCATGGCGGCGGCGGCAGTAGCGGCGCGCTCTGATGTCGTCACTCCTAAGTGCGCCGTCGGCTTTACGTGAGGACGCACTACGGCGGCTGAAGAGGGAAATGTGGGCGCGGGCGGTGAAGCTGGGCCTACGGTCCTGGGTGGGCTGGCGCCGGGGCTTCACCTCCAAGGCGGATCCTCAGGTAAAGTCCGGGGCGTCTAAGCGGGTGGTGAAGAAGGACAGGAGGCGGAGCAGGCCCCACCCGTGACCCCTATTCTCCGCCTCATCCCCCCAGCGTAGTGGCAGGGTCACGGCCGAGGTGATCGAACACCTGGAGCGTCTAGCCCTTGTGGACTTTGGCAGCCTAGAGGCTGTAGCACGGTTGGAGAAAGCCATCGCCTTTGCCGACCGGCTCCGCGCCGTGGACACGGACGGGGTGGAGCCCATGGAATCAGTACTGGAGGACAGGTAAACACTCGCGGCTGCGCACCCCCAAGCCTTGCCTGTGGCGCCTTCGCAGCCATTTGAGGTGGCGATGATTAGTGTGTCCTTTCACAGAAGGGAAAAGAGCTTTAGCGAGATGCAAGAACTTGCTCACGGTCACCCCGCGGGTAAGTGTTTTCATGCTTTCCTTTGTTCATTACGGATCCTGTCACTCCGTTTAAAGTCCCCTTGGCCTCCCAGTGTAACTAGGAACCGTGTCCGAACTGCTAATCATCGCCTTTGAGGCCCTGCTTCACAGAGTCCCCGCACTCGGGCCTTCTGCTCTTTTTACTCCAGCTACATTAGCTTCCTTACTGTTTCTCCAACATGACAAATGTGTTTCTTGTCTAGGATCTTTGCGTTTGCTATTCCCCTTTTCTTGGACAGCCTGTTTCCTTGGCAGGTCTTAGTTTATCTCCTCGTTAAGGCCTCTCCAAATATCTTCTCCCTTAACAGTTACCTACTCCTGATCCTGTTGGATTTTCTTCTATTTCTTGGTTATCTTATTTTTGGTGATTTGTCTCTTGTTAATAGAATGTGAGCTCATGTTTGACTTGCTTACTTGTTGGATTCCTGTCTCAAAATATGGCCTGTACATATCTTCAGACCTAGTGGTTCCCTGTGGAAACATCTGTAAAGTGCATCAAGATGTATGCAGGAGTGTTCATGGTATCTAAACCTGTTTATAATACAAAACAAAAAACAACAACAAACTCCTAACAAGGGGTGCCTGGCTGGCTCAGTCCATAAAGCATGCTGTGATCTCCAGGTCATGAGTTCCAGCCCCAGTTGGGGGTAGAGTTTACTTAAATTAATTAAAAAAATTTTTTTGAACCCCAAGAAACAAAAAACAAACAGTCTAAGTGTCCTTCATGGCTAAATACATCATCATACAATGGAATATTTGACAGTTGTTTAAAAATAATGAAACAACTGGGGCGCCTGGGTGGCTTGGTTGTTAGGCGTTTGCCTTCACCTCAGGTTGTGATCCCAGGGCCCTGGGATCGAGCCCCGCATCGGGCTCCCTGCTCAGCGGGAAGCCTGTTCTCCCTCTCCCACTCCCCCTGCTTGTGTTCCCTCTCTCTCTGGGTCAAAAAAAAAAAAAAATCTTAGGATACATTATATCCCCCCCATTAAAATAAATAAATAAATGTAATGAAACAACTATGCTGATATGAAAAGATATATTTAATAAAAAAGGCAAAGTTCAGAACATTGTGTATGGGATTATCAATACTTTAATGTGTTATCTATTTGACATATTCTGGTATATGCATTAAGTTTTGTTTTGTTCCCTCAGAGCATGCAAGAAACTGTAACTAATTAGTTTTAAAAGAAAGTGGAAATGCAGACAGGGGGAAGTTCTAACTTTTCATCTTATACTGAGGGCCAAAACACAAATGCTTAAAGGAGCAGAATAGTAACACAAGAAGTGATGTAGTATAGTGCAGCAGGGAGGAGCAGGTCTTTGACAAAGCAATTTGTGAATATTATACTAAAAGGATGCACAGCCTCTCCCCACTTCTACCAATTTTTGCCAAATCTTAATACATTTTTATTTTATTTAATTTTTTAAAGATTTTATTTGTCAGAGAGAGAGCGAGCACAAGCAGGGGAAGAGGCAGGTAGAGGGAGAAGCAGGCTCCCCGCTGAGCAGGGAGCCCAATGCAGGACTCAATCCCAGGACCCTGGGATCGTGACCTGAGCCGAAGGCAGATGTTTAACCAACTGAGCCACCCAGGTGTCCCAAAATCTTACATTTTTATTTATTTTTTTAAAGATTTATTTGAGAGAGAGAATGAGAGAAAGCACAAAAGGGGGGAGGGTCAGAGGGAGAAGCAGACTCCCTACTAAGCAGGGAGCCCAATGTGGGACTCGATCCTGGGACTCCAGGATCATGACCTGAGCCGAAGGCAGTCGCTTAACCAACTGAGCCACCCAGGTGCCCTCTTAATACATTTTTAAAGAAAATGCTCTTTTCTGAAAAGCAGACTTGTTTGCTGGTTAGGACTACAGTTTCTTGGGAAGGATGGGTATGTAACTCTTAAAGACAGAGGCAGTCTACAACTCTGTCCTATCCTTTTCTTGATGGGATTTTTTTAAAAAGATTTTTTAATTTGAGAGAGAGTGCAGCGTGGTTTGCAGTGGAAAGATCAGAGAGAGAGGGAGAGGATCAGAGAGAGGCAGACAAGCAGACTCCTTGCTGAGTGGGGAGCCCGATTCCCCGCTTGATCCCAGGACCTGAGATCATGACCTGAGCCGAAACCAAGAGTTGGACATTCAACTGAGTCACCCAGGTGCCCCCTTGATGGGATTTAAAAAAAAAAATACACTCTTGGGATGCCTGGGTGGCTCAGTCAGTTAGGTGTCCAACTTTTGACTTTCGCTCAGGTCTTGATCTCGGGGTTGTGAGTTTGAGCCCCACATTGGGCTCCATGCTGGGCGTGGAGCCTACTTAAAAAAAAATACTCTTAATATAGATGGGAGCAAAAAAGATTAGCTGCCATTAGCACCAATAAGGAGAACCAGACCTATCTGTAACCATAACTTCTGTGTAAAGTGCTTGCTAGCCTCCCATTCTCACCTCCAGTCTTTGATTCCTTCACATCCTTTCTCTATTTTGTAATCTGGGGTGCCTGGGTGGCTCAGTCGTTAAGCATCTGCCTTTGGCTCAGGTCATGATCCCAGGGTCGTGGGATCGAGTCCCATATCAGGCTCCCTGCTCGGCAGGAAGCCTGCTTCTCCCTCTTCCACTCCCCCTGCTTGTGTTCCTGCTCTCGTGCTCTCTGTCAAATAAATAAATAAAATCTTAAAAAAAAAGGGGGGGCTGTTTATTTTGTAATTTGTTGCTCAAATCTACATGTCAGTGTTTCCCCAAAATTACGTAGCACTTCAAAATAGAAATTTTTTAAAAAGATTTATTCATCTGTGGCTCTCTCATGGTATTCAGTTGAGCTCTCCATTCTGTTTCCTTCTTAGAATCCCCTACCTCATCCCACCCACTACTCTTTTTTGCCTACTTTTTCTTTCTTCAGATTTCAACTGCCTCCTCCTCAGATTCTTCTCTATCAAGTCAGACTCCGTTTCAGGACCTGTGGCTCTCTCATGGTATTCAATAGAGCTGTAATTTTACTTGTGTTTATACATCTATTTGAGTACTATTTATTTATATATTTATTTATTTTCCTAGGTAATCTGTACACCCAATGTAGGGCTGAATTCATGACCCCGAGATCAAAAGTTGGGTGCTCTACTGAGTGAGCCAGCCAGGCATCCCATATTTGAGTAATATTTAATTCTCTGTCCCCCTCCTACTGCTCATCCATGTTCCAGGGAGCATATCTGTTATTACTCATCATATTCTTAGTATCTAGCACCTAGCACTCAGTAAATGTTTGTTGAATGTTCTTTAAAGATTTTATTTGAGAGAGAGAAGGGGGGCAGAGCAAGAGGAAGCAAGAGTCCCAAGCAGACTCCACACTGAACATAGAGCCCAATGGGGGCCTTGATCTCACGACCCTGAGATAACGACCTGAGCCAAAGCCAATAGTCACTTAGCCAACTGCACTACCCAGGCACCCCACTGAATGTTCTTTATTAATATCTTTGGGAAAGTTGGGAATAGAAGCACAAAGAGGAGACAGAATTTCCCAGATCGTGTAGAGGGAAACTAAAGAAATGCAACTATTACTCAGGGAAGAGTTTGTGAAAAAGATGGGAGAGGGATTTGGATCTGGTAACTGGAGTAGTGACTTCATATTCAGTGATCTGCAGTCTGGCCATAAACTTGGAAACCAGTTTAATTCTGTTTTAGGAGATGTAGCACTTGTAGGACTTTGTTTTTTGAACATATTGCCTCACTGATGTTTGAAATGGAACCCATTTAAGATAAGTGTTAAACCGTTTTAGGCCACACTAGGTGTAAAAGCACTAACTGGCTATTAGAAAGCTCTTGGCACATTAATACCCTATCCTTTGGTTTTAGCTAAAAAGCAGTTAGTGCCTTTATGTGTCAGGCACTAAGATTTTATATGCATTGTCTGAATTATCACATACAACCCTGGAAGGTAAATACTAGTATCTCCTTTATAGATGAAGAAACTGAGGCACACATAGCTTATGTAACATGCCCCAGAGTTTCACATGTGTAGTAAGAGAATCCAGAACTTGAAATTCAGAGCCTCAGTTCTCAAATATACCTCTAGATATGCCATCTAAGGGACACCTGGGTGGCTCAGTCAGTTAAGTGTCTGCTTTCAGCTCAGGTCATGATCCTAGGGTCCTGGGGTCTAGTTCCACATCGGGCTCCTTGCTCAGCAGGGAGCCTGCTTTTCCCTTTGCCTGCTGCTCCCCCTGCTTGTGTGCGCGTGCTCTCGATCTCTCTGACAAAAAATAAATTTTAGATATGCCGTCTAGAAGTTAACCCATATGCCATCTAGAAGTTAACCCCTGGGGCACCTGGGTGGCTCAGTTAAGCCTCTGCTTTAGGCTCAGGTCATGATCCCAGGGTCCTGGGATGGAGCCACGCATCGGGCTCCCTGCTTGGCAGGGAACCCGCTTCTCCCT